CTTAAAGCTACGCTAAGCTAATCCTAAAATAGAGACAATTTGGTACTATCACCTTAGAGTGGCCTCCCTACTCTAATAATAATCCAAATATTTTAAGCAACTTGCAACTGACTTAATGTAGTTTACAGCAACTGGAATTCATTTACTAATTGCTCTATTTATTTAACAATAGAGACGGCAGAGAAGGAAATGGACTTTGAGGGCAGCAGGTGCTAAACACAAACTCACACACGCACACATCTCTGCATATCCTCATTAGCTTATGAAAATTAATAATCTAACGGGCCTTGGTATAAACATTCAAGTCATGTAATTTCTGTTTTTGCCATAGAACACCACCTAACTTGCAACTGTTTTTCCTATTTCCAGTAATAAAGTAATTATTGTTTCATTTAATTAATTCAAATTATCTTTTTTTGCCAGCTCTGCTTTTCAAATCTCATTGGCATTTTCCTTTCCCTAAATGACTTTATCATCCACACAATCATCAGCATCAGCATCAAACTTCGAAAAAAATTTCCCAACAAATCTCGATATATTTTGTTTCGCATTAGCTACAAGAAAAAAAGTTTTGGAATGAACAGCAATTCCATTGAAGATGGCAAAAAGAGAGCGAGGGAGAGAGAGAGAGTCAAGGAATGACAGGATAATAAGTTGAGTGAAATAAATGATTATGTGCTTGTGTGGCAAAAACAAGATGAACACCAGCAAAAAAAAAAACGAAACGAAACAATAACAATAAAGGCAATAATACCCGATAATAAATTAACTGAATTCACTTACGACGAGTGGCATTAAAAAAAACCCCTGAAGAACAGCAATAGCAACAACAACATGACGGCAATGGCAGGCATCATCGTCAGTAGCTGTGGCAGCAAAACGAATGGAAACCCCACCCAACAGCAGCAGCAGCATCGACAACAGAAGCTTCTACTAAAACTGAAAATTTGAAATGATTGTTGTATGCTTTGCTTCTGCTCCTCCGCTCTCCTCTGCACAAACACTTCGTTTACGTGAATGGCTGTTGGTCGGTCGGTCTGTCTGTATGCCTGAACGAGTGAACAGCTCATTCGTTCGTTTGCGGCGAGGAGAGGAAAATTAATAAAAATAAATTGAGTTGTCAAAAATGATATTCGAAATAAATTCCTAGGTGAGTAATCGTTTTGAGAGCCAACAAACAGTTCAAAGATATCCAAAAAATTTGTTCAGAAGGCTAAAGGATAAACAGGCGAATGGATGAATGGATGGTCGATTTGTGGGCTGAAGGCCTCCCGTGCAACAACACACATCGGCACAGAGTTGCCACTGTGAATGGTAACTTTCATCCGAAATACGCTAAAAAAATTCAGCAAATTCAGGATTAGAGATAGATTGTTGAAAATTAAAAACGAAAATTGATAATATTTTTTATTTTGTTTAGAGACTCACATTTCCCTAAAGTTCCCTATTTTGACCCCAAATAGAAATATAATTACCCTGTTCACTTGAATCCTATTACATCACTTAGTTCATTTAGTATCTCTATCATCCAGCAAAGACCCTAATACTTATTTGGTTCTAATTTCCAAAATCTGATACAAAAGATCGCAGATTCACAATATAGAATTCGAGCTGGTTTTATTACACTATTAAGAATTCAAATTTTACGCGATCGCAGCATTTTGTATATCCGAGCCCAACATTACCACACCAACAATAACCCAGATTCCAAAATTTCACAATTTTAGATTTACTTATTCATTTAATGTTGCGGTACATCACAAATTTATAATTTTATAAGCTTTTAGTTCGATTTTCCAAAATAAATGATTTACATCTAAAGTGACATGCTTTCGGCACCCCATCCGTTCGGCAAATACGATGTGATATTTGTACCATATTAGCTCGAATTGTCCTACTAATTGCCGAATTGTCCTACTAATCTGTTTCATATTCTATTAGGATTTTTTTAAGCTGAAGCTATTTCAAAATTTGAAACTCGAACTGCTTGATGTTTGGCTGATACTTTTATATTTTCCTGGACGATTTTAGATACCTGTTTTTAGAATAGATAATTAAATAAAATCGTTCTATATCTACACCATTGACACAATTGCAATATTATTTATATAACACGGAAAAAATTTTCAAGTTTTTAAACCAGTATTTTTTAATAAATTTAAAAATTGTTTATGTCATTATATTTTTTTATTAATCTTTTCCAAATTTGGCATGTTTTCAAGCTTATCTCTAAAATAGAAGCAGACATCAGAAAATAAAATAAGTGAATACCAAAAAAACGTCTGAAATCATATACACCTTAAAATTTAACAAGTCGGCCGGGCCGAACTTTGAATACCCTCCACCATTTGGAACGAATTTTGAAATTTTCAATGAATAAAATCTTTAAAAAATTCTGTTAAAATTTTAAAAATACCGAATTGGGGTCTATACTACGTAAACCTACATAGGCATGGTTTGTCATAAGCCATTACCATATTCAAATTCGAAACTTGAAATAAACGGTGAATAATGTAGCTAAAATCATCAAAATATCGTATATAGGGGGGTACCGTTATATCGGAGATGTGCGAAGACCTGGACCAGCATAGACAATTTTCTGTCACAGGCTGTAGCATGTATTACGAACTTCAAATACAACATTCCAAACAATTTCGGTGGGTATGGTACCTAAAATTTCGGTGGGTATGGTACCAAAATACCGAATATAGGGAGGTACATATATATGGGGCCTACACGAAGACCTGGATCTGCATGGACAATTTTCTGACACAGCATGTAGTTCCAATAACGAACTCCAAATACGTAATTTGAAACAATTCTGGTGAATAATGACGCTAAAATCATCAAAATACCAAATATTGGGAGGTACCGTTATATACGAAGACGTGGACCTGCACAAACAATTTTCTGTCATAGGCTGTAGTATCCATTTCGAACTTCAAATACCAAATTTGAAACAATTCCGGTAAATAATGTCGCTAAAATCATCAAAATACCGAATATCGGAAGGTACCGTTATATGGGGGCTATATGAAAACGTGGACCTACATGGCTCATTTACGAACTTAACCTGCCTACTGGCAAAATAAACATGTGTGCAAAATTTAAGCCTTCTTTCTCAATTCGTTCGAAAAATAGCGTGATTACAACAGACAGACAGACGGACATCGACTTAGATCTAAATCGACTTAGAATTTTACGCTGATCAAGAATATATATACTTTGTTCGGTATGACATGAGTATTTCGAGGAGTTACAAACAGAATGACAAAGTTAATATACCCTCCATAGTATCGTAGAGGGTATAAAAAATGACATATGGAACACCTAAGCAATACACTGACGGTTTTACGACGCTATACAACAACAGCGATTTTTTCTGGACGTTAATATGTCGCTCCTCACTATGTTCTTTTAAACATATAAATTACATTTCTTAAAGTCAGAGACTTCGGGAAAGGGAATGAGTACTACAGAGGGGGAAAGCGAACGGGAAAAGGCTTAAGAGGAATATCAAAATCCCTTTAACAATCCCTGAAATACCTTATTTTATCGAATAATAACACACCAGCAGTATTTCATAAATGTGTCACAATTGTACACAGTTACAAGCAGGGACAGGGGATAAGGGACGCTTCCCTGAACGGAAAGTGGAATTTTTAATCATTTTTTGCACATTTTGTATGGAATAGTCCTTGGGCCATGTCCGAAAAGTAGATTTGTCAATTCTGGCTGCATCGATAAACGAAGCAGACGACTACACAAAAGATGTAATCTCCAAAAATCTGTTGTGGGATTCTCTAAGTCATTTTTTGAGTTGCCGGTAAAAATCGGTAACTTTGAAACCCAACATTATGTTATAAAAAAAGTTAAGGTTGACAACATTGGTATCTATCGGTAAGTCTTAGCGACTTTCATCGCTAACTTACCGACAAATTTCATTAATTACCGAAATTATAAACATTTTAGTTTTACCGACTTTTGCCGGTAACTCAAAACATGAGTTAGATAATTTCACTACTGATCGGTTCTCAAATTTTATTGCAATTCCAGCATCTGAGTGGGCAACACTGTCTTCCCTAATAGCTAAAAATATAAATGTTTGGCTATGGAAATCCAATTTTTAGTGAATCTCTCCCCCATTTATACAAAGTGAATAGCTTCTCTCTCTCTCACTCTCTCTCTCTCTCGTTTAGTATCATAGTAACGGTAAATCCTTATACGAAAAGAACCTACACTGCCACTAGGAGAAACCTCCTGTGCCAAAGTGGGTAATAAAATAAAGTATACAGCTTTAGCCATAATAAAAATAAACGAATGATCCAAAGGGAACCAACCCAACAACAGCAACAACAACAGCCATATAAGAGAAGCGGAGGGGGTGGAAGAGTGAGATGAGGCACTCTCATTCACATCCTAATGGCAGCCATGCAGCCGGGGCAGCAAGCAGTTAAAGTAACTAACTTTACCTTCAACAAACCTCATTAACTTGAAGAGGAGAAAGGAAATTCAATTTTCTCAACGAAACGTGAAGAAAATTCACACAAAATGAGAAAATTGTCTTTTAATGAAGACATTTTGCACACAGACGGGCGCACACACACACACACACTAGCACGCATGCAGAGCCACACTCATTTGAGCCGGAATGTATTGGTGTTTGCAAATCCTGGGGGGAGGAGTGTATCAAAGGGTGGCTGGCAATCAACAGAAAACAGTTAAATTCAATCTATCACTTAGTTGAATAACTAAATAAAATGAGAGAGAGAGAGAGAGAGAGTGAGCGAACGAGGAAGAGAATCTTGGCAATTCTGCGCACTAAAGCAAATAACGGGAAATTTATTCTCTCTGCCACTCTCAAATGTCTAGCAAAAGGGGCGGGTTTTGCAAGTGCCAGGCATTTGGCTGCCTGTGTGGTGAGGCATGGCTGTGTTGTGTGTGGAAACCCCCCTTTGAGCCATAACAAAACATCAGTGTCGCCATTGTTTTTCCACAAGTCGAACGGTGGTGATGACTGTCGCCTGCAATTCGTTCTGCTGCCTGACCGAGCGACTGCCTGCCTTCTTGAATTGACTTCACACTTTCTCAATTGAAATAGCGCCGCGTGGTGGTACTGCATGGTGCGAATAAAACCGTTAGATCATTCGTTGTCTGGCTTTGCTTCGAAGTGCACGCGATTCTTGCGACAGAATTTGAAAATAAAAAAATAATAATAAACGCTAATAAAACAAATCACAACGTGTTAGAAAAGCGTAACAAAATCCTGTTACAAAAAAAAAACGACTTAATTGGTGACACTAATCCCATGTACGCTGTCAATGTAACGTGTAATCAAAAAAAACAACAAAAATCGGAGATTTGTTAAACAAAAATAACAACAATAAATAAAAGTGAAAATTGTGGGAGAGAGAAAATCTCTACAAAAAGTGTATTAAAATTCCCAAAAGCAAATCACATTAAAAATTAAAAGAATAGGTACTTCGTTAAACTCAACCCAAAATTTGTGCAAGTGAATCTCTGGCATCTTTGATTTTCCAGTGTTTCCTGCTCGCGTGTGTGTGCCTCTCTGTATCCAACATTTAACGCCACAAAGTTTTATAATCTAATTTGCTCTTTTATTTGAACTCACCTGTTCGAAAGCTCATAGAAGAGAACTCGCAGCGAAACTTCTTAAAGTGTATCACACATCTGGAACACACGATTTCAAGGATAATTAAACCCCAACAACTTCAAAAGCGCGTGTGTGTGAAAAATCAAAACTTTTAAAGAAACACAAAAACAACAATCAACTTCAACGAAAGTTAAAACGGAAAGTGTTTTGTCAGTGAAAATAGTTCGGAAAGACTTCAGTTACTCCAGCCTTTCACCAAGAACCACCAATTCTTCGTCTACTTCCCCAAGGACTTTAAATTTGTGCTGCAACGACGGCTGAGTTTCTTGACGAAACTCGCCAAACAATTACTGCCAAAATTTTCACAGACGGGAATAAGGTAAAGATTTGTTTTTTGATTATATATGAGTACCATAAAATCTCAAAAATTCGTACTTTTAAGAATTGGAAATTTTAATTATTTAAAAAAAAAATAAATTTATGAAAGAAAAATTTATTTTTGAGGTTTGCCATTTTAAAAAAAAGGCAGTAACGGGATCTTCTACTTGAAAATGACAATAATTTTCAGATCGCTTTGAAAATATAAACATAAAATTATAGATAATGATGGAGTCGGAATATGAAAATTCGCTGAATTTCAAAATATTGGAAATAAAAGAAATGTAGAAATTTGAGAACCTAAGTAAAAAAAAAAGATTTTAAATATAACATAAAATCCGACGGGAAAATCATATAACATATGTATAGATGGGTAATATCATGGCCAAACAGAAAAGTAGTTTTGTCCAAAGAAAATAGGAAAATGCAACTCTGTAGTAGAGTATACTATATACTATACTTCGGACTATAGAATGTACGCGCTTCCTTCGTTATGGAGTGGTGGCCCCCTTGGTCGGCAGGAGCGGGGAAATGTGGCGATGGGGATGGTCGAGAAAAGCCCTCAAAAATTTGTGTTGATTATTTTACAATTTTCCATAAATTTCTTAAATTGGAAAAAAAGCCTGAAAACTAACGTCGAAAATATAATTTTTTTGTCACAACTGAATTTTAAATTATTTACAAATATAAACGATCCCGTATTTTTATACCCTCAGCCATATCGTTACAGAGGGTATATATCATTTGATACGGCCAAAATGTGCCTAGTCGAAATAACGGTTTTTAGACCCTAGGTCTCTTTGGACCAACTCCGTTTCAGGACATTTGGAGTCGATCTAGCGATGTCCGTTCGTCTGTCTGTCTGGCTGGTGTGCACTCTCGAAGGGAGTATCCGATTTGATCCAAAGTTGGTACATCGTAATATTATTGTCAAACTTAGATCGAGTTCGGAGATGGGCAACATCGGTCCACTCCTTCTGGTACCTCCCACTCAAAATGTCAATAGTTTCAAAGAAAATAATTTATTGCACAGAAAGAGAAAGGACAATCCGATTTTGCTCCAAATCCTAATATTTTTATCAGTGCTAGGTAAGGTGCGAAAATGGACAATATCGGTAAACTCCATCAGGCACCTCCCCCACGAAGGTTCAAAATTTTGAATAATTAAAACTCGTATAAATGTGATGTAGGAGTCCGATTTCTTCAAATTTCACCCATCCCAATAATTTTATTAACCAAAGGTCTGGTGCCAAAATGGAATAAATCAGTCCACTCCTTCTGGTACCTCCCACACAAAGGGTCAAAAATTTGAATAATTACAACTCTTATAAAATGTGATGCAATGATGGGATGTACACATCCCAATAATTTTATAAACCCACGGTTTGGTGTGAAAATGGAATATATGGTATTAAGATGGAACATATCGATCCACTCCTTCTGGCACCACTTCCACAAAAAGTTGAAAATTTCAAAGAAAATATTATATTGCACAGAAAGAGAATGGATGATCCGATTTTGCTCCAACTTTGCAAATCCTATTATTTGAATCAGTGCTTAGTCTGGTGCGAAAATGAACAATATTGGTCCACTCCTTTTGGAACCTCCTTTGGACCATTTCTTCTGGTACCTTCCCCACAAAGGGTCAACCTTTGAAATAACAAAAACGTTTATAAAATCCGAAATAAGCATCAAATTCTCTTTATATTCCACACATTATTTCCACTAACAAAAGATCTGTTGTGAAGATGGAATATGTCGGTCCACTCCTTCCGGTACCTCCCGCACGAAGGCTTTTAAATATCCATGAAGCTCATAAACAGCGAAATTAACATCCGGTTCCATTCAAGACTTGGTATATCTCAATATATCCATAAACACAAGATCTGTTACCAAGATGGTACAGATCGAACCATTTCTTCTGGTACCTCCTCCACATAGCGTTCTAGATTTTTGAAAAGCAAAACGCGAAAGAAAGAAAGCAAAATAACCATCCAACTCTCTTCACACATCCAAATATTTATGCTAAGGCAAGATCAGTTGTGAAGATGATATATATCTGCCAACCCCTTCTGGTATCTCACCCACAGAGGGTAACAAGTTTCAATACTTTTATCTGTCGACTTGTTTTGGCGATGTTTTAGAACTTGCTACATCTAAATATTTGTTTTTTAACCAGAAACCTGAGATGAATATGGAATTTAATTATTTCACATAAAATTGGACATAAATGTTCGATTTTCTTGTATTTGGAATACTTTGGTCGACTATATCTGGTACCTCACGCACATTTTATAAATTATCACATATATCATAAATAGTGAAGGAAGTAACCAATATAGTCCAAACATGGCACGTCGCAATATTTATATCATATTTATTTAAGTCCGATATGAAATGGACAATATTGGCCCATTCCTTCCGAATCTACTCCATACAGCGTCAAACATTAAGTAATCGAACATTGGCTGAGGATATAAATCTGTCGGCAAAACCGACTGATAATTTTTAGCTGGTTTCCTCTTCAATTTACTCTCAAATTTAAATATATTTTCTGGTTCATGAAGAGATTTTTAGTAATCTAGTAAAAGTAGTATATTCTTGTATATCTTAGAAAGGTACTAAAAGAGTATACTACATTTGAGAGAAGGGTTGGGTCAAGTCCACTAGGTTGTTGAAACATCACGATAAACAAAGATTGTAAATTTTTTTTTGTAAATTTTCTAAAAAAAAAAGATTTCATCCATAGAGTTGGATTGACCACTTAGGTGACGAAGTTTTTCGGCAATTAACAAATCGTCCGGACCGCAGAGTGCCACTTGCCTTCGTCTGGTCTCAGCAGAGTCTATTGGGGCTGTGTGTACGTTGAATAAAGACAACTAATCGTTTATTCTTCGTTACAAACCAAATAAAATTATTTTTAATATCCTCCACAAATTTTAAGAAACTTGAAAAATTACAAAATATTTTTAGTAAAAGATACCTCTAAAATCAAACCGCTTACATGGGGGTACCTATTCCGAACTTCAAAGACGAAATTTGAAACAATTTTGGGGAGTAATGCCGCTAAAATCATCAAAATACCGATTATCGGGAAAAATCGTTATTTTGGGACCAGACGAAGACGTAGACCTACATATGTAATTTTTGGCAACGAACTTCAAATATAAAATTTGAAGCAATTCCAGTAAAATCATCAAAATACCAATATTGGGAAGCACATTTATATGGGGGCTATTTGAAAACGTGGACCGACATAGCCCATTTACGAACTTAAACCGGCTACTGGCAAAACACACATGTGTACAAAATTTCAGCCTTCCATGTCAATTCGTTCCTAAGATACAGGCAGGCCGACCGACGGACATCGCTAAATCGTTTTAGAATTTTACTTTGGATGGAATATTATCTTAATGATTGCGAAACAGAATTTTATTCCACATGAATATGTGATAAATTTTTAACTTTTATAAAATTAAATATTTTTACCAACATTAGAGTTAACGTAAATTGAGGTTATGTAACCCGCCATTTTTCTCATTCGGTTCCAAAATTTTGATGGGTATATGTTTCAAAACTCATAATTAGTCTCATGTACATACGAGACTATAAAAATAGGTATGTTAAATGTTATTTTTTGAAGTACATTTTTAAGGATAATAATTATAACATTTTTGCAAAATCACAAAAATTAGAATAGGAAATTTTTTTATCAATTGCATAGTTTAATGGTCAAAAATATGTTAACCGATAATCGAGTCTACCACCATTAAATACTTATATATAATGTCATACTTACCAAACACAATAGCAATTGTTCCGCAAAATTATATCAGATATATTTTTTCCTGAAATTAAACAAACAAATGATTAAAATTTTAAGACAAACATACATTTGTTCAAATGTTGGGAACGAACAAAAATGCTCCGAAATCAAACATCATTACTAACTGCAACCAAATCAAATGGCCACCATTTTTTCCCGACTCCATCTCTAATTAAATTCCTCGATTAAGTTAATTAATTTTTGATTGATTTGCATGTTGGGTTATTAACCTAAAAAAAAAACGACAATTTCAAATTTAGACCACACATTATGCTCGCCGTTTGGTGGGGATGGTTGTTTATCTGGCTGTCTCATCAATGCATTGGTTTTTCATTTCTAGAGGGGGTTTTATTCCCCCGTTTGACAGATTTAATCGCGACCCCTTTTTGCAAATAGTCAGCAGCAGCAGCAACAACAACAAAAAACTGGTAGACAGTCAGCCAGCCAGCCAGCCACACATGTTGCATCAAATGTTTGTTGGCTGCCACAAATGCATAAAGACGACAACAACAACAACAACAACAACAGTAGCAGCAGCATTTGACCAGCCAACCATTGACTCGATCTACAATAAATTGAATACACTCCATTAGAGCTCCTCTCTCAATTAATTTGTGGTTTATCAATTTAATTTACTGCGTTTTTTTGTTGTTGCTGCTGTTGTTGGTGGCGCAGCTTTGATGACAACGCTGCTGATGAAAGGGCGGGGATCCACCAGCCACCAGTCTATGGCTACCAGGGATGCAATAATAATTGTATCTATCCATCTATCGAGTGGCCGTATTCGGAAAGTTCCAAGCGAGCCAACCAGGGCCGATAGCCTGCTAACAGCTAAAAATGGGGGGGGTTTTGTCGGCAAATATGTGTGGTTCGCAGAAACCAAAAATGAAAAAAAACAACAAAAACGGAATGAAAATTGAAAAGAATAAACGTTTGATTGCAAATAATTCAATATTGATTTCCAGCAATGGATGAGGCTATGGCTCCAAAGCTGATGCCGATGATGGCGGTGGAGACGAGATCTCGTTGCAAAATATTAATGGCGGTTTATCAATTTGATGATGGCCCAACATGCTGGGCATTCATATTTTATGGAGCTGGTAATGAGGGAGTTTGTATCGACTCTGAAGGAAGCCAATGGAAAATATAAAGGGTCAGGGTGGATATATTTACCA